CCCGATAAAAGTGGTCACTGCGGCCGAACCCGAGGTCACAGGACAATATAAATTGCATATTCTGACTCAGCATTGAATGGGCTTTCATTTCCAATCAACAAATCAAAAATGCTAGCTTAGGAAACTCATAATGCTTTTATAACAGTATCCTTTAGCCAGTCCGATAAATAATTAACAAATGCAAAATTAATAAATACGTGCATCAAAAACGTAACTTGCTGAGTTGATCGCAATAAAGCAAATATATTGTTTGATAATAATATATATACAGGGTTGTTTTTGTTTAACGATATCCATATAATAGCATAACAAACCATTGTTGACACAATTACAGAGTTTATAGAGAATTCAACGCCGACAAATACTCTTGATAACTTGTTATCGTAAAATAGACTATTTGATATTACACCAATTACCATAAGTGAACACCAAGCTAATAATATTTTAATGACACACCATATGTATTTATGATGGATTAAATGTAGTAAATTCATATTTAATAGTATGTACCCCAATAATAAACCATTTAAATATGATGACAAATAGTGTAAAGAATTAAAGTACAAAGTTTCCATGAATGAACCTGGTAAACTATGTATAATTTGTATAATTTAAATTAAATAGATTAATTTATAATACATAATAATTGTCTATTTGAAAGTAACTTACCAAGTTATATAAAATGGATTTGGAGAGAATATTAAATCTCTGTAATTACCGGCGCTCGTATAGCCATTGTTGTAAAACACGTAATATTGTCGACTCATTGCAATTATATCCATAATTATAACTACTGTAACACCGGTTTTAAAATTACTGTAAAATTAAATAAGAAATTATTTGTAAAATTAAATGAGCAACTTTGTACCTGCTAATAATTCTCATCAACAATGGTGCTATAACAGTAAATTGCATTAAAGGTCCTAGTGTCCATGTCCACGTAAAACACTGTAAATTAGATATGTTTTGATTAATTTAAAAATTTGTTAATAAATGGATTTTAAATTGTATATGCTTAGTCATTTGTATAATAATAATAATTATTTTTATTAAATCACCAATTTATGTGGCGTAACCATATTAAATACAAACAATACGTTTGTTAACCATTTCGATCTACAAGTTTCCAAAATATCATGGTCATAAAACTATAAAATTAAAATGAATATATTAATTTTATTATAAAGATGAATTATTAATTAATATAATATTTGCTACTAGCACATATTTAAACCCTACACACCTTTTCGTCCATATAGTTATTAATAAAAATTACATAAAACACCAAGCATACATAATAAATGGGTGCCACGCGAAGTATTTGCTCTAGGTAAAATCTACATACTATTTTAGTCCATGATAGACTCGTATACTTTGCTAAATTAACATTTTTAATAATGGACTTTGATGCAGCTAGACCATTTATTATAAATAATATGTGTAGCGACAGCCTTAGCACAAAGGTTGACATGTAACTAAAAATAAATTAACTAGTACAATTAATTCGCATAAAATTATATTTACACAAATTCATTTATCTTGATTAATATTAATTATAGTACAGTATATAAAACTTTAATTATTTACTCGGAATATATTATTATGCACCTCTACATAATTATACTAGCTCATTTGTTTATAAAATATTATACATACAACAAGTTTTTGTTTGCATAAAGTTGTCTAAGCCAATTGTTATTAGTGGGATAATTAATCAGGATAAACGTAAAATGAAACAATAAGACAACCACCTGGCACAATATTCTTATACCGTTAATGTGTTTATAATTTACAAGACTTTTATCGCGTTAATTAGCAATGTTATTTTGTAGTAATGACCATAAATATTGATAATTGTTAATAATTGAAAATAATATTTGTGCACACACTATACTATGCTGTACACGTGTTACATGGTGCTTTTAAACTTAATAAGCACTCACACAGAATATTCCGGATTCTGTGTTAAAATCTTTAGTTTAGTATCACATGACACTTAACAGGTGTCACTAAAAGTTAGTTTCCAATACACACGCATAGCTAATGCGTGCACTCCATGCCTGTAATCACAGTTGATGTCCACCATTCATGGCATCGCACACTGTGTTAGGGTAAGGGGGGAGGGAGGGGTACGCAACGTGTATATCATATGTGTAGTCACCAAAGTATGAACGCTGCCTACAATGGCAGCGCATTGTGTGGTTGACTGCTATGGCGTTCACAACACTGTGTTAGCCATACATACAGTAAACAACACATTAAACACGTGTTTATCGCTAGTCTTAAGAGGTTTTTGTTTTGGGTTATCATCGGATCCGCGGATCAGATCATCACCGCATGAATGGGTAAATCCAAGCGCAAGACACGACTATCATCTCTGCGGCACCAGTCGTGGCCAGTGTTACCTACCGGTGCGGCACTGGTAGGCGACAACGGCTCGGATGATGGCATACCAGTGCCGGTGATTGGCCGCGAAGTGGTGGCCGATATCCGCGACAAACTCCGCAGCCATAGGCCCGCCGACAGACACCTGGCGCTCGATATGATGTGCCAATCGATGGCCAACTTTGACGACACGCCCGACAAAGACATCAGTGAACTGATCCGTACAGTGAGTCCCATGTGTGCGGACAGGGCCGAGAAGTGTCGCTTAGGAGCCGCCGATTGCTTGTGGTATATATGCGTTGATAATCACGCCTTAAGACACGTGGATGTGATGTATAAGCGATGGTTAGATTAGTCTTGAGGTGTGTGTTGACACCGCGAGTTGTCTGTGTCTGTGGAGGTTGTGGTCTATGTGTGTGTGTTTGCACTGATAATGTATGTCAACTCGTGGTATATGTAGTGATAGTTATGTCTTAAGACGTTATCTCATTGTCTCTCACTCTCGAGGTTGTGGTCGTTATATGTCTGGGGATGTGATTAGCCATCGCTCATATGCTTGTAATCTATGATATAGTGTGTAGTTATGAGCGCTTTATTTAAAAAGTTTTAATTTTATAGCTAATTATAACTACTATTAACTGTTGATATATTAAATTAGTAGCTAGGTAACTAATTAGTGTGTGTACACTGTTTTCATACCATAGTAGTTATTACTGTATTTTATTAATTATAGCGAATATTAACTAATGTCTTAATTAATCGTTTATAAGTTAATTGATTACGAGATCTAATCCCTGGCCACCAATACACCTACAGTTACCTCTCATCCCTATCGGACCGCATGTGTGACCTCATGATCAGCGCCGACGTCATGACACCACTGATGGCGGCGTTTAATCAGTACTTCTCAGCCCCCGATTGGCTCGCGAGTAGTGTCGGCCCCAAAGCACACCTGTCCGCACAACTCAAGCCTCAGATTTACGTCAATTTGTGTCGACTGTTGACTAATTTGTGGTAAGTTTTAGTGTTTTTAGTGATGTCTTCACACAATTATCACCTGATTTGTGTCCACTATATCCTCAGCGGCACATCCGATAAAGCCTTACATCTGTTCAACGCTTCAAACGTATGGCAAATACTGGTCACTGGTATGAAGTCGTGGGACGTAGACAGCGAAGTGGCCATCGCTTCCGGTATGTGATCAACGATTAGCCACTAATTGCTGTCATAAGTAATTTGCTGTTTTTTACGGCACCTATAGCTCAGTGTCTATCAGTGGCGGCCGAAGAGAATCCCATACCCGGCCTGAAAAGCGCCGAAAATATTGATTTCATCAGAGATTTGTGCCTAAAATCGCCGCTAAACTCATCGCAAATGCATTTGTCTGTATTGACGGCTACTATGGCTCACGATATGGATGTCGTAGCGTCCGGTGCGGTCACTATGGAACAGGTGTTCACTCTAATCGACACTACGCTCAGCGCCCAGTGTTTGCCACAAATGCGTGAATTAGCCGTTAATATACAACAGGTTTGCCGATAATTAGTGTAAACTACTGGTGATTATAGCGAGTATTGACTATATTTTTGGTGTCGTTTTCGGGCATACAGTTCGTGGACAACGAGAAAGATATAGACTTTTTGAGGCAAAACTATTTGAACGTCAAGAATGCAGTGTTGGCTAAACGCGTGGCCCTGGAGTTGGTGACCAATATGACGGGCGCTGACACCGGCACCGGTAGTAGCGATGAGGGCGAGGGTATGGACTGCGATGATGAGGACATGGAGGCCAGTGATGCCGACGATATGGACAGTAATGTTGGCGATGAGAATGACGTGAAACCCTTCGAGTCGACTATTAGTGAAGAACTGGAGGTTATAATACTCGGGAAGGGACTGTTGGCTAAGATTGGCGACCATTTGTGTCCAGTGGACGATGAGCTCAGGGATCAACTCATGAGACACAGCTTTGGCGCTGAGATAGTGAACTGGTATTTGATTTTTAAGTGTTTTTGGTATACATTATACGGTAGTTATCGCTATAAATGTCGGCTATTTTGTGTTAAATTTAACGTAAATTTTTAAATAGTATTTAAATCCGAGTTTTAAGTCTTGTTTTTGTGCTATAGTTTTGAGTGAAAGTTAATTAATTGTTTGCAAACATACTATTAGTGAATATATGAGACTTTGTTTGTGGTATTTATAGACTTGTAGTGAATATAAAATAAATTACTGTATAGTAGGATAGTATTTATGCTTTTTAACCTTGATTATCAATTGATTTAATTGATTTTTTGCATTACAAATAGTATCCAGAGCATACAACTATGTGCGCTAATATGTGTGCACAATCTGGTCGACTGTATATCACCGGCAAAACTACCCATTAGTGAACAACTATGGAAATACATCTACAATACGGTGTTCGACAACAATCCCGGCGCCGACACCGACCCCCTGGTTGAGGAGGCGACCAATACTATCCGAGCACTGATAGCCCGCACACCGGGTGTCGCTATAAGTGCCGACGATTTACAGAAACTGTGTATATATTGCCAAAAGTCGGGGTCAGTGGGCGTGAAGTGTAACGTAATTAACGTGATGTCGGTGTGCGGTCAGAGGTCGCAGGACATGGAGTTTGTCGAGAGGGTGGCCGGTATGCTGTTGCAGGGCTTGGAGTCGGAACGGGATCTCCGGTTAAGGGCTGAGCTGTTGGACGCGTTGATCGACATATTCAGCGAGGATTTGAGGACCGATGCGGTGGCGCTCCGACTCGATCTCATAAACCGTATGAAAGGGCCGGCAGTTTTGTTTAGGAAAGAGGTGTGTATTTGTGTTGGGGGAGGGTATGCCTGTCTGTCTATAGGGGACAGGTATGTGTTGAGGTGTTTTAATTGATTAATATTGTAATTCATAGACTTGTATTGATTGTTATTGTCATTCATATAGTGTTTCTGTTTTTAGTGCAGTGTATGTGTTAGCGATAGTTGACTGTATTATTGGTATTAGTTTTTGTTATATTTGTATGAGATGTGTGTTTTTTATAGCGTGTATTGACTGTAGGTTTTTTAGTGTCAATTATATTTAATGAATACATGGTTTCGTTGAATTGAATTAATTTTGAAAGGATTTTACGGTTAAAGTCACAATGAATTTGAAGTATTTTTAGCACACAATAGCTCTCTCTCTCTCTCGAGTATTTAATACAGAATTCACGCCTTAATAGGTATTTGACTTTAGTTTCATAATTGATTTTCTCTGTGTGTTTATAGGCGTCCAAAGCACCGGTAGATTCCAAGTCCAGTGCCATCATATCGACTGTCAAGCTAAATGTGATGGCATTTATTAAATACAAGCAAAAAATGTTAAGCAGGGCTGGTATGCGATAAGTGGGTGCCCCGCATATGACATGTTATTTGTATAATAAATAGTTTGTTTTTGAATAATAAAATATTTTTTATTATTTTTTCAATATTTCAATTGTGTTTTGAATTTATTTATTTGTTGTATAATAAAAATGTTATTAAATTTTATTTATGTATTGATTTTAATACTAAATTTATGCCAATATATACCATACTATA